GGTGAGGTGCAGATAAGAATGAATGCAAATATACAGCAAGAGTGACAGATTAACCTTGGTCAAGGTTGAGCATTAATGCTGTAACGGGCAGGGAGCAACGTGGTGCCTGCTGAGATAAAACACACACATGCACACACAAAGACAAAGGAAGGTTTACACCTACATTTTAAAGACAAGGCTGTGGACACGCATACACGGAGACTGAGCTCAGTTGTGTGGGTATAGTCGTGCATATTAGTGCGGTACACAACTGATAATTGATTATTCACCAATCACTACAGATTTTTCTGCAATCAAAATACTTTCATCTCTACAGTGCCTTGTGAAAGTATTCGGCCCCCTTGAACTTTGCGACCTTTTGCCACCTTTCAGGCTTCAAACATAAAGATATAAAACTGTATTTTTTTGTGAAGAATCAACAACAAGTGGGACACAATCATGAAGTGGAACGAAATTTATTGGATATTTCAAACTTTTTTAACAAATAAAAAACTGAAAAATTGGGCGTGCAAAATTATTCAGCCCCTTTACTTTCAGTGCAGCAAACTCTCTCCAGAAGTTCAGTGAGGATCTCTGAATGATCCAATGTTGACCTAAATGGCTAATGATGATAGATAGAATCCACCTGTGTGTAATCAAGTCTCTGTATAAATGCACCTGCACTGTGATAGTCTCAGAGGTCCATTTGAAGCGCAGAGAGCATCATGAAGAACAAGGAACACACCAGGCAGGTCCGAGATACTGTTGTGGAGACGTTTAAAGCCGGATTTGGATACAAAAAGATTTTCCAAGCTTTAAACATCCCAAGGAGCACTGTGCAAGTGATAATATTGAAATGGAAGGAGTATCAGACCACTGCAAATCTACCAAGACCTGGCCGTCCCTCTAAACTTTCAGCTCATACAAGGAGAAGACTGATCAGAGATGCAGCCAAGAGCCACTTAGCTCGAGCTGTTTTGCAAGGAGGAATGGGCAAAAATTTCCGTCTCTCGATGTGCAAAACTGATAGAGACATACCCAAGCGACTTACAGCTGTAATCGCAAAAGGTGGCGCTACAAAGTATTAACTTAAGGGGGCTGAATAATTTTGCACGGCCAATTTTTCAGTTTTTTATTTGTTAAAAAAGTTTGACATATCCAATAAATTTCGTTCCACTTCATGATTGTGTCCCACTTGTTGTTGATTCTTCACAAAAAATTACAGTTTTATATCTTTATGTTTGAAGCCTGAAATGTGGCAAAAGGTCGCAAAGTTCAAGGGGGCCGAATACTTTCGCAAGGCACTGTATGTGTGGACAATTTACGTAAGAGGCTCATTTGTACTGTAGTGGTTTAAGTTACATGTTAATATGGATTATGTAATAGAATAGAGTGTTTATGTGCTCACTTTTAAGTTCGGAAATTGACGTAACAGCCTAAGAAAGCTGTGGATAAAACAGTGAGGCTGAAGGGTGTAGGAAGAAGAATGCTACTGTGACAGTGAACTGTGTGCTCTTTTGGACCCAGGCCTCGGCAGGGGGGAACGGACTCTGGACAGACTGGACCCCTGACGAAGACTGACTTTGTGACAGTCTTCTTATTTAATACTTTATCTATTCCATTACAGGAGGAGTGATTCTGCTCTCTGTTCCCTAACTACCAGATTACCTATTTAACTACTACTCTGTTCAGAATAATTGTAATATTAAATGATTATTTAAATTGGGATGATTTGTCTAAATTAATTTAGTCTGTATCACATTCTAGCAACTACAGTACCTTTGTTAAGCTGATACTGTTAAAACAACATCATTTAGTTTGTATATTATCATATGATGAAGCTCGTCCGAAGCCAAAAAATGTCTCTAGCCAGTATTATAAGATGGGTGGAAGTTAATTATTAGAACAACTCCATTAAAACACACTTGTAAATGTAAAATTAAGTGTTACACTTTAGTGAAATTCAGCTTAGTTTAATGTACAATGAGTTATGATTGTACCAGATTTAGCAGAAGCAAATATACTGTATTTATATTTATGAGCGAGGCTGTATCAAATCCCTGACTGGAGGCGAAAATGATGAAAATTAAGAGCAAATAACTGACTTGCTGAATTCATTTAGTAGGAATGTCCTGATCTTTTGTTGTTCTTCTTTTTGCCTCTCTCCTGGTCAGAACCCTTTATTATTGGGATCTGCTGATTTCTACTTTGATCTGATACTCACATTTACCTAAATACTACCCTCCAGTATTTGTTACTTTTGCCCCGTCACCCCTGCGAAGTTGCTATATTTTGGTTGCTGTCATCTTTTAAGGTGGTCAATGTTGACCTCTAAGTCAAAAATCCACCTAATTTTCATAAACACTTGGTCTCAACTGTTACATAAAGCTGCTGTTTGTTTTCAGCTTGTCCACTAAAATTAGCATTAATGAGCAACATAACTATAAGCACACTGATTTAGAGGTGAGAGGAAGACGTCGGCTTGTTGACTGCAGGCAAAGTGGTAAAGATGTCACATTTCTGCAAATTTGTGTTCTACTTGTTTGATCAGTTATTCAGACCATCTCCATTACTTTTGATTATAAATACTGTTTCATATACACTGTAGTTAACAAGATTTGTTGTCAACTCCAGGTCAAATATAACCTCCTCTGTGCTCTGGTCTGTGTCTGTGAGCAGTAACACTCCAGGAAAAAAGAGAGAGATCCCAACTGAGCATTCCTCTGTCTGTCTGCATTGTTTACTGCCTGTTTATACTGCTTATTTTGCATTGTATGCACTGTTTGTTGCTTGTTAATACTACTTATTATTTTTGTTATCTTACACAGCCTTATGCTGGTTTACTGTTTACTTGCCCCTTGCATGGGTATATGTACATACACATTGAGAGCCGATGTACACGAGTCAAATTCCTCGTGTGTCTGACACACCTGGCCAATAAAGCTAATTCTGATTCTGAACTTAAAGGTAGGGTTGGCAGTTCTGGAAAAACCAGCAAGTGGAAGCTTGATTTTAGAAGTAGCAGACTGAAGCAGTCCCACACTCTCATTCTGACTTCTTTCCAAAGCCACTTTCCAAAACACAACGTGCACTGCAACATGCACCTTCTGAGTACTTACTGCAGATTTCAGGAAAGTAACAAATGCCCCCCAAACAAACATGACTGCATGTAAAAGGAATCTGTTCCATGCGACGGTCTTCTTGCTCTCATACTGCACACACAGGTTGCAGCTTCTGGCAACGACAACAACATTACTTATAACAATACATGTCTTAAAGGGGAAGGCCTGGCCTGTAACAACAGTCTCTGTTTGCAACTGAAAGCTGCCATAGCTCGCTAGCTTTAGCTATCAAAACAGAGCAGTAGCACATCTGACTGCAACTGCAACACCTTGTGGGAGACTCTTGGCTTGTGCATTGAGTGCATGGGCAGAGTGCACACAAGTAGGAACTAGAATGACAGGTAGGTAACCACCCAGTGGTTTTGTTTGGGACAAGTAAAATTATTGGTCAGTCCTTCTCAGCCCTGCTGCTGCCACAGATGATGGATTGCTGTCTTTATGTTGTCAGTGAATTTAATGTGTTCACTGGCACCGAGCTGAAAAGAGGATTTCAAAATATGGAACAAAAAAAATGCTTCTGAAAAGAATCACCAACCCTATCTGTAAGAATGGCATCGCTAGAGTAAAAGTAAGGCAAGATCAGTATTATCCTGTTTTAGCTGATGCCTGTCCTTTAAAGTATGTTTGTTATATATTTATTGGTCGTTAGGATCAGTTCAGGATATCCCTCATTTTTAGTCTATAATTACATTATGTTCTAATGGTAACAGAAAACTACTTCTGCACAATAACCTGATTTCTCCAAACACACTGCCAGCCTTCAGTGTGACAAACACAACACTGTTGTCGGGTCCTCCCACCACCTGCACTGTTCCACTTTTGATGATGTACATCTCTTTACCAATGTCACCCTGCACAGAGTATAAGACACAGAGGTCAGCGGTATTCCCATATAGTAAAACCATGGATAAATGATGGCTTATTTCCTTGGTGATTTATGGTCACCAAGGTGTTTCCTTTACTCACAAAACAAACTTACTTTCTTCACAACAAAGTCTCCAGGTAGATAGACAATTGACTTGAGCCTTAGTAACATGTCCACCAACATCTGCTGGTCACAGCCCTGGAAGACATGACATCAGGTTCAGGTTTCAGTTCTGTATTCAAGTCAGTGTATTGCTTTTTCCAAGACATAATTTAACTTTATCTCGCTCACAGAAATTGCATTTAAAGATGGCTGATCTGGAAAAGACTGCACCATATAAAGTGGAGTTGAGTTCCATTTCAACCTGTTGTCTCTTTATCCTCTTGGCATTTTGAACTGTCTTACTGAGCTTAACAGTACTGCAAAGACTTTCATGTAGACATGTGGCCCAAATGCTTTAGTTCACAGTTCATATTAAATGGAAAATTATGCTGTTTTCAGAACACTGTCTCCTTATTTTGTCTTAAGTCATTATTAGTACCTTATGTTTGTTTACTGCTTTTTGTTTAGTTTTTTTTTTAATCAACAGTTGATACTGTCTCTGCTCTTAACATAAGTCCATGCTACTGACCAGAGGACAAATGCTGAGTCACCTGAAACAGTGCAATCTTCTGAAAAGTTGCCAGGTTGATGTCCACAGCGATGGCGGTTCTCATCACTAGAGGCATCTTGTCCAGCAGCTCCAACTCATCTGCAGAGGACAGACAGTGGCCACATCTTATCTCTTACTTGCATCCATATTTCCCTCACTTGCATCTTTTACCTGCATTTTAGTCCCTTCCAGTGAGGTAGAATGAGAGGAAAGCAAGTGAAATGAGTCTACCGGTACCTCTTATTGCCAAAGAATTCCTCTGAGATCCTGCTCTGCTGTGTGAGTCTAGACGCACTGTTGTGTCAAATAAATGGCTAGAACAGTTTCCTTGGATCCTGTTTTTAAATGTGCACTCTCTCTTTCTCAGTTTGTGCCATATGTTTAGTTTTCCTCTGCCTCCTTTAGTGATAATGGTATTTGTAATAAAGTTGTAATAAAGCAAACATTCAAACATTAGGAAGCAAGCCAGTGCACTATTACTGTTGGAGATTTTCATCATTTTTAAATGGTACTTGGCCGAACAAAGCCAGTGATCACATTGCTTTAGTAACAGACCATGTGTGTCTTTTCACTGGAGTGCTGCTGTATCTCACTTATCACCGTTGATGTGATATCCAACCTACATAAAAACTCACAGCCAATAACATTATTCATATCACTTTCCACATTTTACAACACAAAGTAGATAAATGTAGGTAATACTAGGCATCTGTAAAGTAACAGCAGGATTAACTTTATCACAGTAATTATTGATGATGTTAACTAGCAGACTGTGTTATATGTCGCAGGTACCCTCCAGCATTTTAAAGACCTTAGCTGTGACGTTAGTGGAGTTGCCACCCGTCCCTTGTAAAACCAGTTCAGCCTGTTTTGATCAATAAAATGCTCTGTGCTGTTCAGTCAATACAGGATGTGATCTGTTTCTGACTCAGTTTACATGAATAGTAAAGTTAAAAAACAAAGCTGTGGCTGAAAAGCTCAGAGAAAGGAAACTAAAAAATGACTCTTCAAATAGTTGTGCATTTGCTGTAGTGGCAGTAACTGTGCAGAAGCAGCAGTCCAGAACAAACACCAGTCCGGTTTGACAGCATAGGCTCATTAGGAAGCTAGTCTGAGCTTATTTAGTGGGTAATGTTGTGAAGCTTCCATTGCTTTGATCCGGTTCTTTTCAAACATACAAGACTAACCAGCTTACATACCGTGTTTCCCTTTAGTTTTACCAAGCTTCTGGGCGTCTCATTTATTTAATAAAGCTTTCAGGAATAATTAGCAAACATTATGTAGAAACCCAAGACTCTTTGTTTTAGTTCAAGTACCCATCTATAAAGTAGTTGAATATAATGTCATATTATATATATTTAATACATTTAATATGTCTTGTGAGTGTTTCCAGGTGGGTTGGTGGCTTAATTGGTGTTTTTGGAATACCACTTAAAATATGACAGAGGCTTTTGTTAGACAGTCGGTGCTATTGTCTATCTGGATACACTTTTGTGTTAAAATCTTTTCAGACTTACCCAGCACGCCCTGAGCGGCCCAGGTGTAGTTGTACCAGGTACGGACTCTGTTCTGGACTAACTTGGGGATTGTATAGGTGTTCATGTAAGCAACACAGCCATCCATCGATGCCCGAAAATATGTCTGACCTGCTGTTGCTGCTCCGATTACATCTCTCATCTGAAAGCAACATATAAAGGGTTATGGGAAAATTAATTATCTAATAACCCTGAGTAACACCGTAGATTTGAAAAATAAAATGGAATGACTGAAATATAAGATCCTCAGACCGTTGTTCTGCTTAAAAACATTGTCTACCTACCTGTCCAATCAAACTGGAGAAAACAAAAACACCTATGAAAAAGTTAGTCATCTGAAAGGTGATCTCAGAGGTGGTTATAGGCTCTGGAAGACCCCCGATGTTGATCAGACTCCGGACAGCAAAATAATAACAGCGCAGGTACCTGTGGAGGTAATGGGGTAAAAAGACCCAGGTTACCAATAGACAACATACAAGAAATATCTTGATTTCATTTTGATAAAGATTCAAGATTTTTATTTGTCATTTATGCATAAACAGACAGTCTAGGCATATTGGAATTCTTGTGCAGGGCTCTCCTGGAGTCAAGAAAAGAGTTTAAAGCAAAAAAAAAAAAAAAAAAACCCACGAACACCTAGTCTAAATATAAAATTACCTAAGAATAAAAAAGATATTTGATAAAATTGTGGATACAAGAATAAGATAACAGGTAAAATGGGGAGTTTCAAATATTGCACATAGTGTATTTGTATATGGTGTTCTACTTAGTGAGGTAATGAGGGATTATTGCACAGGTTTTTCACATTTAGTATTTGCCATCAGTTTTACTGCAGTAGAGAGAAAGCTGCTGTATAATATTGTTCTGTGCATGATGATACTGTCCAGTCTGCTGTGTCTGAGGTTGTGGGTGCAGTTTTTGTCTGAGCAGAAAGTGATCTGGGTGGGGTGAATCACTGATTATGTTCTCTGCCCTTTCACGACAGCGCTGTGTGTATAGTGTGTCCATAGCAGGCAGTTCAGTCCCAATTATTCTCTCTGCAGTCTTTATGACCCTTTGAAGAGCCTTCCGCTCTGCCTGTGTGGTGTTAACATACCAGACTGTGATGCCAGTAGTAAGGATGCTCTCTACCTGTCCTCTATAAGCCTGGGTGAGAGGGCAACGGTTCAACCCAGCTTTTCTGAGCCACCTGATGAAGTATAGCCACTGCTGGGCTTTTTTCACTGTGGCAGCTATGTTCAGTGACAGCTCAGGTCAGATGTCACCAGCAGGCCCAGGAACTTGTGGCTGTCAGCCCTCTCCACCTCAGTCCCTTTGATGGTCAGAGGCAGCAGAGGGGAGCAGTTCTTCCTGAAGTCTACTATTATTTCTTTTGTCTTGTTTATGTTAAGGATGAGGTCATTCTCCTCTCCATAAAGAAGAATGTCGTTCACCATGCTTCTGTAATCCAACTCATCCCCCCTCCTTGATGAGGCCCAGAATGGTGGTGTCATCGGCATATTTAAAAAACTGTTTAGCAGGGGAAAAATATCCTGACGATCAGAGAAACAGAGCAACACAAACTGGTCTCTAACACTCTGCTACCATAGGGTTAGAACAAAAGCATCTTAGGTAAGTGGTTTCTTACAGGTCTCCATTAACTATGAGAAGTAAACCAGTACCATACTGTGTTTACCCAAAGAAGCAAAGGAAGGAGATACTCAGTTCATACAGGTCTTCAGAAACACAGCAGGTGAGTGGTCAGTCTGGTAGTAAGAACAGATGAACTGGCAAAGAACCCGGGGAGATGAATTGATTATAAAGATCAGACCAGGCAGGGATAGTGAGCAACAGGTGAATGTAACTGAGCTTAGTCATAGTAAAGCTGGGCCTGGTGAGGGCAGCACAATAGAGGAAAATTATGTGGACACCCCTACTTTATATGGTGTCCTCAAAATGCCACAACAGGAAGGACAAAGAAGTGGACTACTTTGCACTAACAGTCCCTCCACGCAAATTACTGCAGTTTATAGATATAAAGCTACACCTGGCAGCAAACCAATCCATCTGAAATCTTAATTTACTGCTCACTAGGGAACTATTAGTGTCTTTATCAGCATGCGGCAGGGAATCCAGGCAGTCACAACTACAGGAACAAATCAACGATCACACTCTCCCATGACATCACCCTCCAAGACAGTCTTAATAACTTCTGTGCTAGGCTTGACAGGATGAACACAGACACCCCTGCAAAATTCCCCTGCGACCCAGGAGACACTGCTTATCAGGTGATGCACAGGTTCTGAAGGCCCTGAAACGGGTGAAACAGCACAGGTGGTCAGAATGGGAGGGCAGGTGTCTGCTGAGCTCACAATCAACACATGCTTCCTTCAGGGCTGCTGTCTCAGCCCTAAACTCTTCACTCTGTACACCCATGACACCACCACCATCAAACTTTGTCATCCTGTAACCTGCACCTACTAAAGTCACACCCCCAGCCGCCTGATGTCCCGACAACAGGAAAGACCCCATCATGTTCGCCTCCCAGAAGGTCCTCCATCTCTGAATAAAACTGTGCACATGTTGTTCCGATTGTTGTGACAAAGCTTTTAAAGGGTGAACTTTCAGACACTCCCCAAGTTTATCATCATTCTTCTTTGATCAGTTTTCTTTGTGATCAAAATCAATACGTATTAATATTGATTTCAGCATTTATGATCATGTATTTTGCATAACATTTACCTATAACAGATGTGTTTTATATATCATTTACTCCAGTATAATCCTTTTTGAATATTATAAAGGCTTGTGTTTTATATATGACAGGGCTGGCTTATTCTTCTTAAAAGTTCACTTTACTATAGTACACTGTGTGAGAAGAAATCCATCCATCCATCCATCCATCCATTTTCTTCTGCTTATCCAGAACCGGGTAGCGGGGGCAGCAGTCTAAGCAGAGATGCCCAGACTTCCGTCTCTCCAGACACTTCCTCCAGCTCCTCCAGGGGA